TATAGTAATATAGTAGATGAGGTTGTAATAAATTCTCAGAATATCTGACCGCTGACAAACTAGGGAGTAACTACAAGTATAGTAATATAGTAGATGAGGTTGTAATAAATTCTCAGAATATCTGACCGCTGACAAACTAGGGAGTAACTACAAGAAAAGATCTACATACACCTGCTCAATATGTATCACATAAACCTAATAACATCATTTTTTTTTATTACAGCACTGTAAGAATGCAAGGTCTGAGTTAAACTACTGTTTAAGGTCTTTCTACTGATTGCTTTTGAAATCTAGCAATGCATCAAAAGAAGAAAGTGCTGTGTCACTGGCAAAAACATTGAAGGGAGTTTGTACCTACTAGTAGAGTAATGTCCCACTGACAGCCAGCAGTCTAAAGATTGAGTACAAAAAAGCATTCATATCTCATTCACTAGAGTCAACTCACCATACTACTTATTTCAGAGACTATTAAATGACCACTTATGATGAAACATCTACCACCTACATTAAGATCCTCTATATAAACATGGCCCATTCACTTAGTCCACTCAAAGGAGAAGATCATGGCATCAAGACCAGGACTATTCACAGAATGGCCATGGCAAAGGCTCGGTAGATTTAAGGTATATAGAGATAAGCATGTTGTCACATTTCTTATTAGTTGTTATTATCAGCCATCATCACATTTCTCACAACTTTGTTATTTTTGATAACTGGAAGTACTTGGTATTGGCTCCTTGGGTTGCACATAGTGTGTATTCATATGTGATGGATGACGAGAAGGAGAGGGATCTGTCAAGATTGATGATATTGTCGGTATTGCTGCTGAAGGCAGCATACACTCAGATGTGGATCACCCTTGCGAGGCTCAAGATGGTGAAAGGCAAGAATAGGATTGTTAACAAGGGGCTCGAGTTTGAACAGGTGGACCGAGAAACAAATTGGTACATACACAAACTCTTATTTACTTTTACATGTTGTATAATCTATTTAGTTTGGTAGATAATAATCGTTATGATTGACTTGACAAAAAGAGCAAGAAAATTTGAGGCAGATATTTCTTGTCAATATCATATAGAATTGTCTCTACATAAAAAGAAAGAGATATAAACACTTGATGCCTATGTTTGGTTGGATTTAAAGCTTACTTCTGACCGTCTCCTGCCTATTTTTCTTCTCTTTTTTTTAATCTCAAAAAATATCAGCCGTGTGTTATTTTAAAAACACCCATGATTTATTTTCAGAAAAAATAATAACCCCTGTTCCAACAAGAGTTAGGCTCAAATCTTAAAAATAAGTTACTCCTACACCTATATGTTACTAATCAAACAACCGAAGAAACATCAAATATTAAAACATAGATGCGAAAAAAATACAAGCACCAAACAAAAGAAAAGGAGTTTCCCACGGTAAAGAGAAGGTATAGGAATTACTCATTTTACTCATAAATAAAAATAAAAACTTTACCATATAGACTTTTTCCAAACATTGTGCATGACTGCAAGAACATTAGTTTTTCCTAGTTGGTTTAGGATTAAGAGCCACATCCTATGAAGTCAAAAAATACCTATATCAAAGCTTTACCCTTAAAAAATAGATGATAGTAAACATAAAAAGAGAAAACTACCAAGAGAAGCAAAGATTGCAAAACATTAAAGAGATGAAATCCTTTTGAAATATACAAAAAATATATATATTTTTTCACTTTTTAGGAAGTATGAACTTAAGGACTTGCATAATCAGCACGGAACACAGAGTTCTTCACTCCCAACTTATCATCAGTAAGAGAAATATGCCACAGTGGGTGAAGGGTAAGTGCAAAGAACTAAAACTCTTGCTTCATTTGCGAGGTTTTCTTGAGATTCACCTATTTCTCAAAGAAAAGGGGGGAAAAAGTATAATCAGTGCTATTATTAGTGCCATGCTTGCGACAATTCTAAATATACTAGTAGTATATGTTACTTTTTTGTGAAAAATAGCTGTCATAAATCTGATACTTATGGTAAAACAATGAATTGCAGGGACGATTCCATCATCATGAATGGTTTAATATTTTATATATCAAATTTATATGTACCTGGAGCCGGACACCTCCCTTGGTGGAACACCAAAGGCATAATTATCGCATTTCTGGTCCATTTGGGTCCTGTCGAGTTCCTCTATTACTGGTTCCACAGGGTTTTGCATCACCATTTTTTGTATGCTCGTTATCACTCCCACCATCATGCTTCTATAGTGACAGAGCCAATCACCTGTAAGATTATAAATACATGAAAACTGACAAAAAAGGTTTTTTTTTAAAGATAATCTTTAATCCTTAAAATAATGCTGTCTTCTCTCTAAATTGCAGCTGTCATACATCCATTCATCGAGGAATTTATCTATTTTATACTATTTTCCATGCCATTTTTTTCTATGGCGTTCACGCGTACGACTAGCATGATAGCAGGAGTTGGATATCTTGCTTATATTGATGTCATGAACTACATGGGACATTGCAACTTTGAAATGGTCCCTAAATGGGTTTTTGATTGGTTTCCACCACTAAAGTACCTAATGTATACCCCATCGTAAGTATTTGAATATTTTCACTAAAGAAACACTTTCTCTCAATTATACTTCAAATCTGCTGAACAGAGTGTTTCTGATTATAAATCTAGGTATCATTCCCTTCATCATACACAATTTAGGACGAATTATGCATTGTTCATGCCGTTCTATGACTATATATATGGAACGATGGACAAGTCCTCTGATGAATTGTACGAGAAGTCGCTACAAGTGAAGGAGGAGACACCAAATGTAGTGCATTTGACTCACCTAACTACTTTGCAATCTATATATCATTTACCAATTGGGTTCTCTGCAATGGCTTCTAAGCCATTTCTTCCGAATTTTTATACATGGTTGATGTGGCCACTGACCTATGGAGCCATGCTACTGACTTGGATTTATGGTTCAGCCATCGCATTGGAGAGAAACAAGTTAAAGAAACTTGAAATGCAAACATGGATAATACCTCGCTATAGTTTCCAAGTAAGATCATGATATGTTGCTATTAGTTTCAAATTTTTATATTGTACGAAGCTAAATGACTAACTTATGTATATGCATGCAGTATTTCTTGTCTAGAGAGAAGGACAAGATCAACAGATTGATTGAGGAGGCGATAATGGAGGCGGAAACCAAAGGGGTTAGAGTTTTAAGTTTAGGCCTCTTGAATCAGGTAGGTTCTGTCTATTGGAAAAGAATTGTTGACAAAGATCATGGAATTTGTTTATGAATTCTCCCCAGAGAAGGCTTGATTATTTCATTAAAACAGAAGTTTAATCTAACTGAATAAAAGATTTTTGAGATTGAACAAGCAATACATGAACTTCCAACAGCTACTTAGGAAAGAAGTTTCAAATTTACATTTATAACTATGTCAAAGTTTGCCAACATGCCCATGTACTCTATACTCTATAGTACTTGATTTCTGAAGGGCATGTAAGTTTAGAATAATTTATTATTGCACATTACATCTTTATTCTACTTACCCATTTTCTAGAGAAATTTTTTTCCTTTTCTTCAACTGATAGGGAAAGTGAAACAAAATTCTCAGTTTTGCAGTGTATTAAGTATTAGAACCATTTTCAAGCTAACTACATTCGACTATTGCAGAGGGAGGAACTGAATAAAAGTGGTGAGCTTTACCTTCAAAAGCATCCAAAGCTCAAAATACGAATAGTGGATGGAAGTAGCCTAGTAGCTGCGGTCGTCATCAACAGCATCCCTCAGGGGACTGATCAAGTTCTGCTCAAAGGAAAGCTTTCTAAGATATCTGGTGCAATAACCATAGCATTATGCCAAAAGGATGTTAAGGTACCTTCAACAAGTCTAGATGTCAATCATTTTCAAGAAAGAAAATATTTTTATTAGTGTGTTCTAACATGAACTTCTGCTGTTTTAGGTGGCAATATCTCGTAGAGAAGAATTTGAGATGCTGAAAATTTGCATGCCGACAAATTTAGCTAGCAATCTAGTCCTCTCCAACAATTATGATTCCAGAGTAAGACAGATTTGTACTCTTCCCTCTGCTTACTTTAAATAGTAGTTTTCGGAAACTAAGACAGATTTGTTCGCTATGAAAACTAAGACATACTCAGCATATTCCAGTTAATGTATAGACGCAAGCTAATGCAGAAGAATCCTACTCAAAAATTTCAGGTATGGTTGGTGGGAGATGGACTGCACGATGAAGAGCAACTAAAGGCAAATAAAGAGACACATTTCATCCCATTCTCCCAATTCCCCCCAAAAAATCTCCGAAAAGACTGCATTTACCACAGCACACCTGCACTCATTGTTCCTAAGGAATTTGAGAACTTACACGCTTGTGAGGTAAACTAGGAAGTGGTCATATACTAGAATTTCCAACACTTGACCCGAGTACATAAGTTAATATTTTTTTTTTCATTCTTGATTTGAATGGTGACAGAATTGGCTACCGAGGAGAGTGATAAGTGCATGGAGAGTAGCTGGAATGGTGCATGCACTTGAAGGATGGGATACACATGAATGCGGTCGAAATATGAACGATATCGACAAAGTATGGGATGCTACTCTTCGTCATGGGTTTCTTCCCTTGAATTGCCTTAAATAATAGCTAAGGCTCGAGGGTTTGTGCTAGCACTAGATAACTGTACTGTGTCAAGAAGCGAAATCTATGCACGTAACGTTTGGCAGTAATAAGGACTGGGCATAAGGGCTAACGGTCCGATACGATTTGAATCTGGGTCGCTCTGATACCATCTTTTCTTCAACTACACCAAAACTCTTGTGGTGATGATGGGATTGAGGACTATGATTTGTACTCCAACAATGTGTTAATGAATGTTGAAATTTATGTAATAATGATCATGTCAAGCTAACAAATTTGCTATCAAGATAGAATTTTCCCCCCCCTGACTAGTTTCAAGATGGTTTCTTTGTGGAAAAAAAGCTCCTAAAACCTGAAACTATTTATCTAGAAAAACAACCATCTCAAGTTACAAGAGAGTTCTCACCGCAGCAAATTACATTCATGGATATACAGTTACCAAGAAATCAGGGGGAAAATGCAGAAAACCCCCTAAAAGAAGCAGGAATTTACCGATGTCGGGTTCTCAGGCAGCCTCTCCGCCGGCGGGCGATAGGGTCCCACCTCGTTGACGCGGCCGGCAGGGCGTTTATCAATCCCGATGATCTTTTTCTATTTCTTCGGCCCATTTGAGCAACAGAGCTCATTGACGTCAGAGCCTGTAAAAGCCCATTGGGCTTTTCAAGCTGAACTGAGATATGGTTGGAGCTACAGTTAAACAATCGAATGAAGTAAAACGGGAATGGAGAAAGGAATATAATGGAATTAATGTGAATGGTCAATTAGTTTAGCAGACGATTGTGATTATTGATCTTGTTGAATGCAAAATAGGAATGAGTGTAGTTTATAAGGTTCGATAAGTGTTAAGTCTAGAATGAATCATAATCATTTATTAAAATAATCGATGATTGTTATCAAATGTAATGATCTCTCTACTATTGTTTTTAGAGGAGGAACAAATTTTCACTGTAGACCCAAACCAAGTTTTAATTACCAAAATCGACCCATTTTTTTTAATTACCAAAATCGACCCATTTTATGCCACGTAAGCTTAATCTCATTTACTAATTAGTCGGGGTTACCAACCCCGACTGTTTAGGAGTTGTTAAACCTCAATTAGAAGCCTTAAACCCAATTTTTAATGCCCTAAACAGTCGGGGTTGCCAACCCCGACTAATTAAGAAATGTCATTAAGCTTACGTGGCATAAAATGAGTCGATTTTGGTAATTAAAAAAAAGGGTCGGTTTTGGTAATTAAAACTTGGTTTGGGTCTACAGTGAAAATTTGTTCTTTAGAGGAGAGGAATCCAAAATTCTGAATCCAATTTTAACACTACTTTGATACTCAAAGACGTTGCTTTCACCTGAAAATAGATACATAAATTCTGCTTATATTGTGACACCACACTTTATTCTCATATAGACTAGTGTGAAGAATGTTAGTAGCTTAAATAGAGAAGCTCAATGCCCAAGAACAACTAATGATAGTATTTTGACAGTGGGTTTTAACCAACATCGAGTTACTCTCGGTGGGTCTCATGGTTTGCACACGCCAACGGGTCCGTGGGCCCGGGACATGAATGTTAATAGCTAAGGCTCGAGGGTTTGTGCTAGCACTAGATAACTGTACTGTGTCAAGAAGCGAAATCTATGCACGTAACGTTTGGCAGTAATAAGGACTGGGCATAAGGGCTAACGGTCCGATACGATTTGAATCTGGGTCGCTCTGATACCATCTTTTCTTCAACTACACCAAAACTCTTGTGGTGATGATGGGATTGAGGACTATGATTTGTACTCCAACAATGTGTTAATGAATGTTGAAATTTATGTAATAATGATCATGTCAAGCTAACAAATTTGCTATCAAGATAGAATTTTCCCCCCCCTGACTAGTTTCAAGATGGTTTCTTTGTGGAAAAAAAGCTCCTAAAACCTGAAACTATTTATCTAGAAAAACAACCATCTCAAGTTACAAGAGAGTTCTCACCGCAGCAAATTACATTCATGGATATACAGTTACCAAGAAATCAGGGGGAAAATGCAGAAAACCCCCTAAAAGAAGCAGGAATTTACCGATGTCGGGTTCTCAGGCAGCCTCTCCGCCGGCG